TGAAACGAGGATTACTGGGATGCCAAAATGGCATACCCGTTATTTTGAAAAATACTTCGAAATACCAGGCAGCTTGTGCAGTGTAAACGTGCCCTAAGATTGCCATGTTAGCCACCTAAAACTCACTGTTATTCTACTACACTCTCTTTGGGGGTGAAGAGAGTATAGGAGAGGGGACACTGCTGGGGGAAGTGGAAATAAAATATAAAATTAAAGGAGAGCAAGGAAGCGAAAGAAAACATGGAATTTCTTGTGCACATAGATAAGATGATTATCTGGACCTTTAGGGATAGTTTCCTACTCTTAACCTATCTGTAGGACACCATTATCTGCTCATTTGTACAGAATTCTTTTCAGTTTGGCAGCCTATCGTTTAGTTCTTCTTTTAAAAGATATCTTGGTGGAACCAAGTAGTTTTCATACATTTAATGAGGTACTGCAAATCGGATTTCAGCCAGTACTGAAGTTTCATCAATTCCTGGAACATTCTCTAATACTTAAAGGTTTTTCAAGCCACTCTTCCCTGTTCTAATGCAATCTCATTGCCTTTGGCAGACACTTGGCCATTCAGAAAAACTGCCAAGACACTGGGAGAACAATTTTCAGTTAACAGTGCATCAAAATCCCACATCCAGTGCCCTTTGTACGATACAAGTGGGATTTTCTAGCACTCAGTGGGGGTCTAACTCACCTCACATTGAAGGAGTAAGGAGCACTGAGGAACCTGGCACATGTGGCTCGCCTGAGGAAGTGGGTTTTGCCCTTGAAAGCTCAAGGTACTATAAATATTTTTGTTAGTCTTTAAGGCGCCACAAGACTACTCATCTTTTTTAAAGTTACAGACTAACACAGCTACCCCAAGACTCATTAAAGAAAATGGTAACACTTCCATTGACTTCAATGGAAATAGTTAAACCAACACTGAGTGACTTAAAAATTCCCACCCTCTGTGTGTGTGTGTGTGTGTGTAAGCATGGATGCTGTATAAATTATGGTCCGCGTGTCAGAAAATAGAACCCAGGGTCTCTTTCAGGGCTATTGTCGAAGCTGCTTATTAGATGTGCCAAGATTTACTTGTTATATCGCAAGGAGAGGGTCAGAACACACCTGTTTCCTGGAACCTCTGAAAATCAACCCAAACAATCTGGGTGACTTAGCAACTTCCACCTGGAACTAGTGCTCTTGCTCCAAGTGCAAACATCAACAGAACATTTTATGACCTTAGAACTCTTGCTATCAATGTTCAGCTTAACTGTCTGCGTATTTATTGCTAAGCTGCTGCTGACCTCATGTTTCTGTCTGCTATGGGAAAAAGAAATTGCCATGTTGTATGCAAGAAAGGCTTTTTGAGTTCTAGTTGCACAACCCCTCATTTTAGAGGGTAGGGGCTAACTGCTATATGCGTGTCAGGCCCCTTTAGAATATTTAAAGGTGGGGACCCAAAATCACGAATCAGTTCTGAAAATTTAAGCAGGTTTTCCTTTCATTTCCCTTGCATATAAATTCAACAGGTAGGAGGGTATTAATAAGGTACAGGAGAGCTCAGCTCTGTTTCTGGCTGTGCTACAGACTTCCTGTGTGATCTTGGGCCTGTCACTTAACCTCTCCGTGGTTCATCTGTAAAATGACTCGATGCCTCACAGGGACTTCATGGAGATTTGCTTTCAAACTCCCCTTACAAACGCCCACTTAAACTCCCCTGTTTACAGCTCTGTTTGCTTGGCTCCTGTGCCGCTGCAGCTATCTCACAAGAGTCCCTCCTACCTCTTTTGTTCCAAGGGCTCATGGGAATTGTAGTCTGGATTGTAGCACACAGGGTCTTTTTAGAATAAAACAGAGGCCCCTTTAGTAAGGGGACTACACAGGTTTCATTTTTAGTCGCATTTGCCTCAGCCAGAAGTGTGGAGAAGTTGACGGCCCTTGTGTCAAAGCCCTATGCACAATTTTCTACAAGGATAACATTTATTTCCATCCTCGCCCAACATTTCTTTTTTTAAGGTAATCTCTGATTTCCGTGGTAACCGGGCACTCTATTTGCTGACATTCTTTCCCAATGAGGAGAGGCTTCATTCACAGAATTGTGAGACGCTTTCTACCTCGACCGCACTAAGTCTTTTAGATCCTCCACACAGTTGTCCCTTGAGGTTGCTGACAGGATTGCTGGGGGTGCTGGTGGTGTAGGGTCTGAGTAGAGAGTCCACATATCCAGAAAGTCCTGCAAACAGAGTTCCAATGCCCAAGATGATGGGGCATCCAGGATTTCCAGGTTTATGGATCTTGGGTAGTAGATAGAATAACTCTGGTCGGGGCTTTAGGAGTGTGTATGTTTAGATTTGTTCCTGTGCTTGTATAGGGAGTGTCCTGAGCAGACAGTGCAGTTTCTTAGTGTATTCCGCAGTGGGATGTGAGGAAAGAGGCCCGTAGAATGTGGTATTGGAGAGTTGTCTGGCAGCCTCCTTTTGATAGTCTGACCTATTCATGATGACAACTGCACCTCCTTTGTCAGCCTCTTTGATTATGATGTCAGAGTCGTTTCTGAGGCTGTGGATGGCATTGCGTTCTGCATGGCTGAGGTTATGGGGCAAGCGATGAGAAGCTGGATATGAGTCAACGGCGTGCCCTTGTAGCCAAGAAGGCGAATGGAATATTAGGTTGCATTAGGAGGAGCATTGTCAGCAGATATAGAGAAGTGATTATTCCCCTTTATTCAGTTCTGGTGAGGCCACATCTGGAGTACTGTGTCCAGTTCTGGGGTCCCCACTATAGAAAGGATGTAGATGCATTGGAAAGGGTCCAGCAGAGGGCAACCAAAATGATTAGGGGGCTGGAGCACATTACTTATTAGGAGAGGCTGAGGGATTTGGGTTTGTTTAGTCTGGAGAAGAGAAGAGTGAGGGGGGATTTGATAGCAGCCTTCAACTTCCTAAAAGGAGGTTCCAAAAAGGATGGAGAGATGCTGTTCCAGGTAGTGACAGATGGCAGAACAAGGAGCAATGGTCTCAAGTTACAGTGAGGGAGGTCTACGTTGGATATTAGGAAAACTATTTCACTAGGATGGTGGTGAAGTACTGGAAGGGGTTGCCTAGAGAGGTGGGAGAATCTCCAATGGTCTCAAGTTGCAGTGGGGGAAATATGGTTGGATATTAGGAAAAACTATTTCACTAGGAGGGTGGTGAAGTATTGGAATGGGTTACCTAGGGAGGTGGTGGAATCTCCATCCCTAAAGGTTTTCAAGTCTTGGCTTCACAAAGCCCTGGCTGGGTTGATTTAGTTGGGATTGGTCCTGCCTTGGGCAGGGGGCTGGACTTGATGACCTCCTGAGGTCTCTTCCAGCTCTGTGATTCTATGATTCAATCTTAGACCTTTGCAAAGCAGTGACTCAGATGTCAATCTGAACTTTTACTTCTCATTATGCCATTTCCCATCCATTCAGGGATGGTGCCAAGTTCAGACAGGTACCAGCCTTCAATCACTAGTCAGGTTGACTCAGAATGCACCATCATGTTTGTCCACCTATAAGTCACAGTGGAATGAACATGTGCAAGCACCCAGAGAGGGAAAACTGTTACCTATCTTTCTGTAGCTGTTGTTCTTGGAGATACGTTACCCATGTCCATTCCATGACCCATTGTCCTTCCCCTCTTTATCACTCTCTCCGGTATGACAGAGCTGAGGAGGTCTGTGTCAGCTTCATACTCTCATACCAGCATGCAGCTTTATCAGACAACAAAGGGGACTTGAGCACAGAGGGAAGTTCTCTGATAATTGTGCACGAGGCAAGTACGCACCAAGAATGGAATGGATACATGCAACGCATCTCGGAGAACAACAAAAACTAAATGGCTAATCACTTTTTTTCTCCCATTTCTGACATTAGATAAATTGGAGTAATTTTAGTAATGACTAAAAATAACTGAGGTCAGTGGAACATTTGCAAAGGGGTAGCTGGTAACAGCAAGATCCTTCAGTAAAATATGTCATAGCTGCACTGGGCACTAAGATCTTCTGGGCCGTGATCTGACAATCATGGGCAGATTCTTGTGCCCACACAAAAAGTCCATGTAGATGAAGGTTCCATCCATGTTGACTCTGTTGCAGGCAAAGGATCATATATGTCCATTTCTATACTCATAATCTGGTCATGTTGCTACGAGCTTTTGGGGCATGATTGTGAGGTACCAAATTGTTTCTTTACATAAGGATTGTGAATATTAATACAGCCATCCTGGGTCAGACCAGTGGCTCATGTAGTTCTGTTTCCTGCCTCCAACAGTGGGCATAGCCAGGTTCTCCAGAAAAATGATCAGAACAATACAATTATCAAGTGATTCATCCCAGTCTCAACTTCTAGCAGTCAGAGGCTTAGGAAGACCCAAGGCATGGGACTGTATCCCTAACTATCTTGGCTATGAGCCATTGATGGACATATCATCCACAGATTTATCAAATTCATTTGGTTATGCAATTGTTTTTTACCGCATCCCCTGGCAAGGAATTCCACAGGTTGACAGTGCATTGAATGAAGAAATACTTGTTTTGTTTTAAACATGCTGCTTATTAATTCCATTAGGTGACCTCTGGTGCTAGTGTTTTGTGAAAAGGTAAATAACATTTCCCTGTTCACTTTCTCCAACACCATTCATGATTTTATAGATTTCTATCATGCCCCCCCCCATACTCATCTCTTTTCCAAGATGACCAGCTCCAGTCTCTTTAATGTCTCCTTTAATGAAAACTGTTCAATACCCCCTCATCATTTTTGGTGCCCTTCTTGGTACTTATTCCAATTCTAATTTATCTTTTTTAAGATGGGGCAACCAGAACTGCATGCATTCTTCAAAGGGTGGGCGAACTATGGATTTATATAGCAACGTTACGGTATTTGCTGTCTTTTTCTAATGTTTCATGTCTGTGTTCCAAGAAGATTGGCATCCTCCATTTTCTTTAAAAATGACTCACTTCACTTGTAATCTTCCCAGCCTTGTGTTGTTCTGTCCTAGGAATTATAAGAACACACTGCAAAGGGATGGAAGACAATAGCTCTCAAGCAGACAGTGTCGTATGTTCTGGCTGGTTGGTAATTCCAGCCGGGAAAGCTTATGAAGGCCCAGCCCTTTGATCACTTGTGAAAATATGGTAGATTGGAGGCCTCAGATGATGACCTGTAGCCCTGGCCCAGCAGGGTAGATGGAAAATGATGAATTAGTCTGAGGTAAGATGTCCCTACCGAAAAACACATGTTTTATAGATTTCCCCACCCCCACTTGCTCAGAAATCTGTGATGGTAACTGGATTTTCTTTAAGCTGAGGTATCATAAAAATGTGCGATACTGCTCAGCAGGGTCTCTTTCATGTCCATGTCAATGACAGGCGAGTGCCATACAAACCACTATTAGTTCTCTCAGTCTCCCTTTGTGTGGTGTGAGTAGTGAGGGTGGGATTTGTCTGCTCACCAAGCCAGATCTGCTTGTCTACACCTTGAAAAACGAGTCTGACAAAGGCACCAAATGGAGTCTCTTTTCCTTACTGTAAGTGATTATTTCCCTCCAACCTCTGGGTGTTATAGGGCTACCAAAACAAGCTCAAAGCAGGGACATGGAAACTCCCTAAAAATGTGTGTGTGGGCGGGGGGTGGTGGCATGGGCACCTAACCCATGGCCTTGTCTCTCCACTCCCCTTTCCTGAGGCCCTGCTTCTCTTGCTTCTCTCCACCTTTTCTCACCAAGACTCTGCCCCCTCTCTCCACCCGTGCTCACTCTTATACAAAAGTGATGGGGCCACGGCCCAGTGCATGTTATTTCCCAGTTTGGGGAAGTCTTGACCCACTAGAGGCTTATTATTTGTTGAAATATGTGTTAGAACTACTGAAACATTTGAAAATGTGAGGTAAATATTGTGGAGTTTTTTTGAGTGAATAATAATTCATGGATGCATTTTTTTTTCCAGTAATTCAACCAGCTGCACTAAGAACAGAACCAATTTGGCCAAGGCAGAAATCACAGATTGGACCCAATAGTTGCTGTTGCTGTATGGTGAGGAAAAAGATGATTCCACTGACTTTGCTTATCAAAGGAGCTAGTCTGGTATATTCTCCACTGGCTTTGGTGGTGCAGCACTGGGGCTCATGATGTCTTTCAGTCAGGAATTATCTCCTTGTTATGTGTCTGTACAGTGCCAGTGGCGCCCTGATCCATGACTGGTGCAGATGTGACAGATGCCATCTTGGCCAACACATCCGGGATTGAACCAGGGGCCTCCCGAGGGAATAAATAATGAGCTATTACAAAAACATGAGCTATTACAGTTCAAGCTAAAGAACCCATGCTCTGTAGCGGGGACTTTAACAATATGTGTCCTCTGAGGACTTCTACCAACGGGACCCTGTAACACATACTCACCAGTGGGGTACACATAAATAATAATTTTGCCAGCTATGTTATGTAGATGCAGCTTGCAGAATGGCGATTCTGAACTTGTAAAGGTAAAATGCTGAAGCAAAATTTAGTGGCCGTAGAAAAACAAAATGAAACTCAGAGTACAACCAAACTATGGCCTTGAGTCTGATCTTACTGAAGGCCCTGTGCAACTCTCATTTGAGCTAATGGGAAAGACTCCATTTGACTTCAGTAGGAATTGGATTGGGGTTTTTCACTGATGTGCATTGGAGTAATGTCAGTGAAGTCAGTGGAAGGGGGGAGAGGTGTAAAAATGAGATGAGCAGAATCAGAATCAAGCTCTTCCACTTCACTTCCCCTTTAGCTACAGAGTTTAGTGACACATCTGCTTGAAATGAAACCTGGAGCTTGTACAGAGCATGTCTCCAGGACAACTACCTAGGGTGTCTCACTTCTTCTGATGAGCTAGTGCTGCAGCTGTGAAATAAGCGGCAGTTGAGCTGACAGGAAGCAACTGAGTCATTCAATCTCAAGCTTGAAATCACTGATTCTTCAATTTAAACCTTAGCCTTTGTGTGTATTAGGAGTCACTGGTCTTGCCTTCCAACTGTAGCTGAGCTGCAATCACCTTACATCACTCTGGTGTTTTGTTCATCTCTCAAATATGGGGCGGGGGTGGAGTTCCCACTTCTGTCATAGGTAAGGAAATGGAAAGATAAGATTGTAGCAGTTTAAAGGAAAGAAAAGGAATAATTACTTACACATACACACAAAGTCTCTTTGGAAGGGCAAGGGAATCTCAGTTGCTTTTACATTGTGGTTTTCCTAGTCTGCCCCAAGTATTGTGGTTTACCCAGCAAGATTGTTTCTTCTGTTATCATTTGCTGTAGTGCTTGCCTGGAAGTCCGAGCTGAGTGCTAGGTGTCAAACAACCTCCTAGGGCGAGACAGCCGCTTCCCCAAAGAGCTTATAGTCTGAGCAGTTAAGAGAGAGGAAGGAAGGATTTTTATTGCTGTTATACTGGTGGGAAACTGAGGCACAGAGTTTAAGTGACTCACTGAAGGCTGCATAGGGAATTCATGTAAGAGCTGGGAATGAACCCAGCTTTCCTGAATCCCAATCCATTGCCATAACCACAAGATCACCCTCTCTCTACAGCCCTGTCCCTGCACGCTGTTTGTCAAGGAACCAGTGATCAGGCTAAGTGGTCAGAGCAGGAGTCAGGCCTAGTGGTTGGAGTCTGAATGCCAAAGCCTAGGACTGAGGTGGAGTTGGGGTTAGGAATCAGAACTGGATTTCCAGGAGTCAAGGAAAGTGGGAGCAGGGCTGGTTCTGATGTAGGAGGGAGGCTGGAACAGGTTAGAAATCTGGTGCAGGGGCAGGGTCTGGCTGGAGCAGTGAAGAAACAGGGCTTGTAGAGATGAGCACAGAGAGACATAGTCCATTGGCAGGTGAGCTGAACAGCTATCAAGCTGCTGCTGGGCTTAAAAACGAACCTACTGGCTTCTTTAGCCACTCAGGCAACCTAACTGGCCGGTTGGGGTGTCAGGAATATGGGGCAGGCACATCTGCAGGGCCGATCCCTGCAACTTATGGAGACCCACTGACCTCTGTGCCAGAGCAGGGGGCTGCTGCATGTCTCCAGTTGCAGGATGGGGCTTGAGAAGAGCTGCATGCCACTATGGGAGGGACAGGTCTGGAAGGCCACTCCATTGCAGAGTTGCTAGCCCTTGGAGTGAGAAAACAGGAGTGGAGCTTGAACTGGAGTCTGCTGAATGGCAGGGCAGAACCACGTCACAGGGCCACCAGGGTTTAGTGTGGGCTTTTAAGTTTCAATGTGAGATACAGAGAGAGGCTCCATTCAGAGGCTGTTGTGAAAGTTCCCCGTTATGGAGGAATATCTCAGCAAAGCCTACAGTGCAAACACCGTTGGCCAGAGGGAGGAAGAACAGCTGCTGGCATCAGCCCACCTGTATGTATTTAACCCCCTTCTGTTTCAGGTACGAAGGCTCCTGTATTTCTCCATCACGAAATGGGACGTGGTCTCTTCATCTCAAAAAAGATATACTGGCATTAGAAAAGGTTCAGAGAAGGGCAACTAAAATGATTAGGGGTTTGGAACGGGTCCCATATGAGGAGAGATTAAAGAGACTAGGACTTTTCATCTTGGAAAAGAGGAGACTGAGGGGGGGATATGATAGAGGTCTATAAAATCATGAGTGGTGTGAAGAAAGTGAATAAAGAAAAGTTATTTACTTGTTCCCATAATATAAGAACTAGGGACCACCAAATGAAATTAAGGCGCAGCAGGTTTAAAATAAATAAAAGAAAGTTCTTTACACAGCGCACAGTCAACGTGTGGAACTCCTTGCCTGAGGAGGTTGTGAAGGCTAGGACTATAACAGGGTTTAAAAGAGAACTAGATAAGTTCACGGAGGTTAAGTCCATTAATGGCTATTAGCCAGGATGGGTAAGGAATGGTATTCCTAACCTCTGTTTGTCAGGAGGTGGAGATGGATGGCAGAAGAGAGATCACTTGATCATTACCTGTTCGGTTCACCTCTCTGGGGCACCTGGCATTGGCTACTATCAGCAGACAGGATACTGGACTAGATGGACATTTGGTCTGACCAGGTATGGCCATTCTTATGTTCTTAGTTCTAGGCTTTTCTGGGGCAATCTTTCATCAAAGCTGAGGAGCTGGCTATGTTTATAGGCATGAAGTCACATGGCCATTATTTGCCATGGGCATGTGTGCAGCAGCGTTCAGCACTAATGCACAACAAATGTTAGGTGGATGGAATTTATTCTGGTTCTAGTTTATCTCCAAAGAACAGGGGGCTCAAGGACTGGCATACCAGCTCAGACTGATGCTCCACTTTATCCATCTCCCTGATTCTGACAGCAGTCAGTACCAGCTGCCTCAGATGTAGCTGCAATAAAACTTGAAGTGAGCTATCATAGAACAACCTGGTGACGGGGACATTTACTTCACGGATGGCTTGTGGTTTTGGCTGTGTCTACACTAGGGCTATGTCTAGACTACGTTCTATTTTTGACAGAGGATATACAAATTCCATTTTTTTCCTATATCACTTTTGAAGAAAGAAAGAAAGAAAGAAAGAAAGGAAGAAAACCCCCTTTTTCGAAAGAAAGAAAGAAAGAAAGAAAGAAAGAAAGAAAGAAAGAAAGAAAGACGCTCGTCCTTAAAAAATGAGGTTTACGTGTTTTTTTCGAAAAAGGGTTTTTTTCCTGAAAAAAATGCACCCAGACTACTTTCACTTTTGAAAGATCCGATTTCAAAAGCGAGGTCAGAAGAAGATATGCAAATTCCCACCGAATTTGCATATCCTCTTTCGAAAACAGCACGTAGTTTAGACGTACCCTAGAAGTGCTACAACAGCAGCACAACTTCTGTATACACTGGAGCATTGGTCAACTGAACATTGCCTATGGCGTGAAATTATTCACAGCCCTGAACAATGTAGTTAATCTGCTCTCAATCTGTAGTGTGGGCCAGCCCTAGGGAATCAAGAGAAAGAAACAGAACTAAGACCCATGTGTTTCAAAGGAGATTTGTGATTGTGGATATTGAACACTGAGATACCTCTAGGAAGCGTGATTTCTAGAGGACTTTCAGCACTCTGAAAATCAGGCCCTTGTCTGGTATCTCTGGATGGGCGCCCAAAAGTTACTCCCTGGTAACTTTTGAAAATCAAGACCAAGTTCCTCCCAGTACGATACCTCTCTACCTCCTTGCACATTTCCTGGACTGATCGGTAGAGGTAGATCAGAATTAAATCCTTAGAGTGTAATATGCTCAACCACTAAGGAAAGAGACACTGAGCTTTTGTGTGTTCAATTTCTGTCTACCAGACAGTTTCCCTTTTTTAAAAAATTGAGTGGGTTTAATATAAAGGAAAGTATTAGCAAAGCCCATGCTGATCTGTGCCTGGATGAGTTTGAAGCGGCAGCCCCCACATCCTATGTTTAACGTTGCTTTTGATGTTACCTAATGAACTTGGATCATCTAAAAGGTTCCATTTAGAAGGCTTAAAAATCTGGAAACCATTTGACAATTAAGCCAGAAGACGCGACAGGGTGTGTTTTATGGGCCCTATTAATGGATGCCTCAAGGTGTGTTGTGGTGTGGCCTCTTGCCTTTATTCACCCATGCTGGGTATTAATGGCCTGATAAAACTCACCCCAGAGCATTATATTGCTGTGATATCATTTAAAGGGGGGGGGGGGGAGTGGGAAATTAGCTTATTGTTCTAAGGGAAAGGGCAGCCAAGATTTTAAAAAAAGAAGCAAATCCAAACAAAACTGCTTCTCACTGTATGCTTTCCTAGCACGCACAGCAAATACAGTGCCAGGCTCTCCTTTCTGATCAGCTCTGTTTCATCCAAGTAATAGCAGCTGGGGGGCATTTGTGCAATGCAGGGCTATCTCAGCTGGCATTAGATGTGTAAGGCACCCTAGAATGCCAGCATCAGGGCCTAGATCCCACATCTTCCCTGAAGGCTGTGTCTCAACTTGAGCATTGCCTTTTGCAGGGGAACCTATGGATTGCACTTTGTGGCCTTGAACTGTTGATGTTAGACCTGATCCTGCAAGGTGCAGGGTTCCTATTTCAA